CTGTCTCTAGAATATTGTTTTAAAATCACTTCCTGTCTCTTGAATCTTGTTTTAGAATCACTTCCTGTCTCTTGAATCTTGTTTTAGAATCACTTCCTGTCTCTTGAATCTTGTTTTAGAATCACTTCCTGTCTCTTGAGTCTTGTTTTAAATCTCTTCCTGTCTCTTGAATCTTGTTTTAGAATCACTTCCTGTCTCTTGAATCTTGTTTTAGAATCACTTCCTGTCTCTTGAATCTTGTTTTAGAATCACTTCCTGTCTCTTGAATCTTGTTTTAAAATCACTTCCTGTCTCTTGACTCTTGTTTTATGTGTCTTCGTGCATGCTCAGTGCTCCATAAACATGAGTTTTAGTCTTTTTTATTACGATCTCAGTGTTTTACCCAGCACACACAACCAGAGTGCATGCTGGGTAAAACACTGCCAGTAAACAGAATTCGCTCCTTCTCATTTTGACTGTTCTCAATCTCCACCTTGCCCCGCCTTTTTGCCTCCATCTCCCAGGATCCAGATCAGCCAATCCCATCAGTGGTAAGGCCTCAGCTTCATCCAATCACAAGCCAGACTCCACCCCCTCCAAAACTCTGCATGTCTTCCTGTTTTTGTAGATTTTTGTTTCAGCCTCTTCGTTTCAGTTTCAGATTATTTTCCCTGCAGCTGATTGGATCCAATCTGTTGTTTGTTGTTGTTTTTGTGCGTCCTCACCGGTGTCACAGCACAGTTACATCACAGATCCATCCCCTCGCTCCACACCTGTCCACTGTCACCAGGTGTTTGCTTACAGAAAGGAGGGGTTTTTTTGATTCGTCGTGTTTCTCTCCCTCAGCCGGCAGTCGCTCCAGTTCTCCGGGCAAGCTGCTGGGTCAGAGCGGCTACGGTCGCATCCCTCGAGCCACGGCCTCGGCCTCCAGCACGCCGGCTGACAAACGCAGCCGAATCCCTCGCAGCCAGGGCTGCAGCCGGGAGACCAGCCCCAACCGGATGGGCCTGGGTAAGACCAGAACACGCTGAGGATGGTTTTATACGAGCGATTGATGTAGCGTAACGTATGGTCAGGGTTAACTCAGATAAAACCCAATCTAACCTGGTGAATCAGCCCCGTGTTCCTGCAGGTGTGTAAATCATCATGTTTCACACAAACACATGAACTGATAAGACAAACTGGACTCTCCTATCTTCTGATAAAAACACAAGTGTTGTTTCTCTTTGTGCTTTGAAACACCGTTCAGCTCAGACTTCCTGTTCTGATGAGTTTCTGTCAGGTTAGACTCAATGTCGATGGAGGAGGTGTTTTATTTTTTATTAAAGTTAGCCGCTTGTTAAGGTTTATTTAATAAAGAGAGGATATTTTTTAGTTTTTATGTGTTAAATTAGTGTTAAAGATGAAGGAAACGGAGATGCCTTGTGTATGTGTGTGTGTACTCGTGTGTAGTGTTTGTTATAAGTTTGCACTAATATTTCTGATCAGTTTCTTTAACTCACACTTTGCTTAAAACAGAGCACCTTGTGTCTCCATTACTCTTTTTATTTTAGATTATTTTCAGATTCATAATTTTAACCTTTGCAGCTTYGGTCACTTTGTACCCAGAGCTTTTATGTGTGGAAAGAAGCTGTCTGCCACAGGGCTCTGAGGACCTGATTTCATCTGTTTTGTACCCACTTAGTTATGTATCTAATGGAGTTCACTTTTGAAATGAAGACTGGCAGATCTGGACCAGTTTCAGGTCTGGACTTTAGCATCTTTAGCGCCAGATGATTTCTGAAAAATCTTAGAGCCCAAAACTAACATCTCTGTTCATATCAGGCATAAAGGTCCTGAATTAATTTATTTGTTTAACTTAAAGGGTTAGGTTGAGTTTTCTCCATACTTCCTCTGCTTCAGTCTCAGCTGGGTACAAAAAGGCCAGTTCTGGGTTTAATATGGCATGTTCTGATTACAAAAAAAATGGTTCTGGGTACAAAAAGACGTGATGGGTACAAAAGGCAGATCCTGGGTACAATATGGCAGGTTATGGGTACAAAAAGACAGGTTATGGGTACAAAAAGACAGGTTATGGGTACAAAAAGGCAGGTTATGTGTACAATATGGCAGGTTATGGGTACAAAAAGACAGGTTATGGGTACAAAAAGACAGGTTATGGGTACAAAAAGGCAGGTTATGGGTACAATATGGCAGGTTATGGGTACAATATGGCAGGTTATGGGTACAAAAAGGCAGGTTATGGGTACAAAAAAGCAGAGTTATGTGTACAAAAGAGCAGGTTCTGGGTGCAAAAAGACAGATACTGGGTACAAAAGGGTGGGTTCACTCTGTGCCTTATTAGTACTTTAACCTAAGAGTTTATCTGAATATTTTGTAAGTTTTCTTCTCATACTAAGACAGTTTTTATCAAACTAGCTGTGAGTCTAAGGTATTCACACAGCAACATACTGTATGTTAAACAGAGCTCCAGCTGAGTGCAGTCTTTGGGTTTATCGAACACTAAATCCTCTCTGAACCAGACGTAGAGGTTTCTAGTTTGAAGCATGGTTCTGTCTCTGCTCACTCATCTCTGCCCCCCATCCTCTCATACCTAACTTGTTGTCCTGACAGCCAGCCTGTGTGGTAAACCTCTTCTCCCTGCTGCTCTTTCCTACCGCACGCTAGCCCGGAGCCGCATTCCCCGTCTCAGCATGAGTCAGGGCTGCAGTCGCGACACGAGTCGCGAGAGCAGTCGTGACACCAGCCCGGCTCGGGGCTTCGCTCCTCTGGGTGAGTACGGCCCCAGACATCTGCAGAAATGTGTCTCCCAGCGAGCTCCCCGACTGGACGGTCTGTAAGACGCTGACTCCAGCTTGCAGCCCTCCTCTGGGTGCAGTCATGGTAGAATCATGTGCTGAAGAGTTTACACGACAGGAGAGCATGAAAATGATCTGTTGGGTTCTGTCGTTTTAACAAAATAAATCCAAATGTACAGATTCTTTAAAAAGTTCTGGGTCAACCAGGAGCTGCTGAAGAACTGATCCTCATCAGTGGGACCATCAATGAGCTGCTGGGAAGGGTCAAAGGTCATTTAGAGCAGGGGCTCTTAACCTTTTGGACCTCGGGGCCCAATTTGTTGAACATAAAGAGACATGAGACCCAGTTAGACATTACCATACAGATCAAAATGATAATTATAATAAATCTTGGTTTAATTTATATTGTATTTGCATTATAACTAAATTAAATACACTTACAGTTTAAAAGTAAAACTCCTGTCAAATAATCACAAGACATGATTATAACAAACATTTTTATATTGTAACCTGACCATAACGGTCAACAGACCACTCAGGCTTATCAACACAAAAATATATATTTTTAACATAAACAATAAGAAAAATAGCCAATTCAGTAAATAAAATTGGCATAAAATAAGTACATTCAAAATGTTCAATGTTCAATGTTTCAAATAAAAAAAACCTGTAAAAATTAATTTGATAAAGTACAAATGAAAATAAAGCCTTTTTAAACTTTTGAATGGTAGAACCAGAAGCTGCTCTTCATATTAGTGACAAACAGTAACAGTAACAGCTTTTTGACAAGTTTAAAGTTTCTTTAAAACACATTCAAAATGTTTAAAATAAAACTACAAAAATTAATTTAAAGTGCAAATTAAAATATAGTTGTACCTGCAACTGTATTTGATAATGTTTTGGACTTCTAAAATACTTCATGGTAAAAAAAGAAGCTGCTCTTCATATTAGTGACAAACTTTGGTCTTTTTTGATGGGTTACCTTTATTTTTGTTTCTACTTTTAATTTAAAATAAGTTTCCATTCTCAGCAGGTTTCTAAGGTTCTTCTTCTACATATTAAAAAGTTGTAAAACATCTGAGTGGTGCACTACTGCTACTAGTGGTGAGAAAGTGTATTACACCTTATTTAAAATCAATGTGGTCCCACGGCCCTCTGCGGCCCAAAGTTAAAAACTGTTCTTTTGAGGCCCTCAAGGTGGCGCTCGTGGCCCACGGGTTAAAAATCTCTGATTTAGAGTCCATCGGTCTTCACCCTGAAGGGCAGACTGTGCAGTGAGCTCTGTCTCTACAGACCTCAGTCAGCATGGTCCAATCAGAGTCCAGAACCTCCACCTGCTGAAGGAGTTTCTACAAGCTGCTGGACCATGATCTGGACTGTGAAACACTTTATTTTAAAACCTCCTGACGTGTAAAACCTTCAAATAAAACTCTAAAGTACTTGATTTTTACCATGACTCAACCTGTGCAGCTTTTTAATGTTTCTCTGCATGAACTAATTCTGTTTCTGAATCAATCACAGCATCTTTACTGAACGTTTTATAAATGTCAGAAATAAAAACAGTTCTTGTATTGTAGTTCTGCTTTAAACAGGAGATATTTAGTAGTTTTAGAGAGAAAAATGATGAATTTTAATAAGAAGATGATCTAGAGGAGAACTAACCCCTCCCCCCCCCTGCAGCTTCACGGCGTCACTCCCGTTCAACCAGCGCTCTGTCCACAGCAGAACCTCACGGCCAGTCAGGTGACCTGCATGACCGAGCCCCGCCCCCTTCCACCCAAAACTCCCCGCCCACCTCCGTTTCATCAGTTTCTTTGTTTTTGGGGCGATACCAGTCTGCCTCATCATCATCATCATCATCATCATTTATATTCACTCCTGAGTTTTAAATGTTTTAGTCTTTAAATTAAGATAAAAACAAGCTGAAGCAGTTTACTGGTTTTATTCAGTTTCTTTTCGACCAGTTGTCCCATTTTCTGTTTTTATTTTCCTGACGATGATTTTCTTACAGCGTTTCAGGATCTTTGTTTATTTGAGCTCATCACTCAGTAGTTTCAGTGCATGTTAGAGTTTCATCGTTGGGCCTTTTWATCTGATTTTTGGGTTTTTCTTCCTTTTGGCGGTGGGTGAAAATCACTTTTTCTGATGTTTAAATTAGTCACACTGATTAATCTGTAAGTTTCAGGATTTCCGTTCTGTTTTCAGATCGTTACGGTTTGATTCACCAAGCGAGGATCTCTGCGTCGGTCAACGCCATGAGGGTCCTGAACACCGGCACCGAGGTGGAGGCGGCGGTGGCCGACGCTCTGGTGAGTTTTTTTAAAGAACCAGTTTTATTAAATGTTCTGATTACGAGCAGCGAGAATCACAAATCAAAGAAATATCCTTTGCTTCTGAACAGGAAATAAATTCATAAAAACGCGTTAAGAAATGTTTTGTTTGCTTGTGTCTGAATAATAAAATGTTAAAAGGATATTTTAACGTTTTTTTTGTCTTAGCTGTTGTGGAAATAAAGTTTAATTCTCAGATCTTTAAACAAATTATGTCTGAAGATTTTTCTGGCCTTTTGTGATTTGTAAATTTTACGGTGCTATAAATGCTAAATTGTTGTAGAAGTGCTAAAGCTAGCTGCTGCTGCCAGTAGTTGTTCTGTAAATGAAGAACCTGATATTTCTTGAGGGTAATTACATTTAGCTGTGTTGTAAATGTTTTATTTTGGCAGCGATCCTCTTCAGACTAGCCGTTAGCTCCTCCCGCTGGTCAGAATTAAACTGTTTCTTCAACAGATCTGTCTACAGGTCATTTATGATTAAACGTCTGTTTCCTCCTGTAAATATGGGCTCTCTCCTCTTTCCTCTGGGTTTTTGTTGCTTTTCCAGCTGTTAGGAGACTCCCGGAACAAGGTAGTCTGATTTTACACCCAGTTTGTGTGTCTGTGGCCTTCACACTAATCCAGGAAACATTTTGCTGCTTTGCTCCTGTCGGCTCGTGACGCTCCTCCGTTTCTTTAATTTGTTTTATTCTTTCATTGTTTGCTGTTTGTTCATCTTGTTTTCATACGTGAGATTAAAGCCACTCCTCTGTTTGACACGCTTCCCTTCACTTTTTCATTCTGTTGTCCACATTGCTTAACTTGCACTGCCTGAATGGCTTTTATTTTAAAAGGTTTTGTCGTTTTAACCTAATGGTAGCATTAAAAGGAAAGCTGCATGCTGTTAACCTCTTCTTCACGACGGAGCAGATTTAAATTTTGCCGATGCTCACCGGCGTCGTGCTCTGTTTCCTCTCAGAGGAAGCCGTTGAGGCGGCGGTACGAGTCTCCCGGGATGTATTCCGACGACGACGCCAACAGCGACGCCTCCAGCGCCTGCTCGGAGCGCTCGTACAGCTCACGCAACGGGGGCGTCCCTCACTACCTGCGCCAGACGGAGGACGTGGCCGAGGTCCTGAACCACTGCGCCAGCTCCAACTGGTCCGAGAGGAAGGAGGGCCTACTGGGGCTCCAGAACCTGCTCAAGAGCCAAAGAATACTCAGGTGAGTCTGAGGAGGAACCAGGACCTCTTTCAAGAAACTACAAATTATGAACTAGAGGCAGGTTGTATAAAAGTCTCAGCAGCAGCCAGATTTTCTTGAAAAAAGAAATTAAAAACAATTATTATTCATCAGTTCAAATATCTGTTTGTTTCTTGCAGCCGAGTGGAACTGAAGAGACTCTGTGAGATTTTCACGAGGATGTTTGCAGATCCACACAGTAAGGTATAAAATATTAACCCTTTGAACTAAAGCAGAGCTGATTTAAAGTGACTGCATGGTATCCAGATGTGATTTATGTGGAACTAATGTAGTGTCCTTTGTTGCATGGCCTGCCTTGTTTGGATTTAACAACAGAGAGTAAGTTTGATCTCAGTCCGTTCTCTTTCTCATCGAGCCGTGGTCACGTTCTGACGGCTGTGAACTTGTTCCCAGGTGTTCAGCATGTTCCTGGAGACTCTCGTGGACTTCGTCACAGTCCACAGGGAGGACCTGCAGGACTGGCTGTTCGTCCTGCTCACCCAAYTGCTGAAGAAAATGGGTGCAGACCTACTCGGGTCAGTCCAGGCCAAAGTCCAGAAGGCCCTGGATATCACCAGGTCTGTAGTTAAATGTGATTCTTAGGTTGCTATATGATGGATGTATGATGTTGCTTGGTATAAAACTAAGACTGAAAGAGTTTGGAGGATCAAACGCAATGATAAAGAAACATTTTGGTTTTTACATTAAATCTTGAGGAAGTATGTTTAGATCTGTAGGTTTTATAGTCAAGTGCAGTCGAGTGTCATCTGCATAGAGGTTGTACTGTGAAGCAGAGGTCCATATAGTAGTACTTTAAAAATAAGTAAAAGTAAAATTACTTGAACAGAAAAGGACTTTGGTAAAAAATAAATTTCACTGATGAGAAAACTACTCATGTAAAAGTCTTAAAACTGTTCACAAAAATTGGGAAGGTAAAAGTAGAAGTACTTTTACACACTCTCTAATAAATAAACTGTTGAATTTACTGAACCAAACTGGTTCCACCAAGCCAGGTTGAGTAAATTGAGCAATATATTTATATTGTTTGCTCACTTTACTCAACTAGGCTTAGTGCAGCCAGTTGACATGACTTTGTTGAGTAAATTCAACACTTCATTTTTTAGAGTGCAGAAACATATTTCATGATGAGTTTGAACATATTTAATTTTGTAATGAGTTACTAGATGTTACATTTTTAAGTAAAGAGGTAAAACTATCATTTTTAGCTTTGAAATGTAACAAAATAAAAGTAAAAGTAGCTATTTAAAAAAAATAAAAGGTAAAATTACAAATCCTCAAAAAACTACTTAAGTACTGTAACAAAGTAAATATACTTAGTCACAGTAAACCTCTGGAAGCAGAAGCAGGTTATTTGAAAAAGAATGGGACTGAGGTCTCAACCTTGTGGTACACCTGCAGGACTGTTAGGAGCTGAAGTAATACGAGTGATGACAAAGGTTCTGTTTGTCAACGTGAATAAATTAATTATTGTAAAACAAATATAAAGAAACAGAAATGCTTGTAATTCAATAAACTTAAGTGTAAAATACTCAACTTTTATGAAAATTTTTGTGATCTCTTTCTGCACACATAATAAAAACTCATTTAAAAGTTTTAATAAAGCAACATTTTCTTTGTTTCAGGGAATCCTTTCCCTTTGACCAGCAGTTTAACATTTTGATGAGGTTTATTGTGGACCAGACTCAGACACCAAACCTTAAGGTAAAAAAATATAAATGTTTATTTATTTTAGTTGATTTTGTTGGTCAGATACTCTAACAGCAGGAACTTGACTCCTCAGGTGAAAGTGGCTATTTTAAAGTACATCGAGACTCTGGCCCGGCAGATGGATCCAGCAGACTTTGTTAACTCCAGCGAGACTCGACTCGCGGTGTCCCGGATCATTACTTGGACCACGGAACCCAAAAGTTCTGAYGTCAGGAAGGTGAGACAGAGCTGTTTGTGCCTACGCAAATTCAAATTATTTTAATTTTTCTGTTTGAGCGAATAAAAATATAAATTCTATGTTTTACATTTAGTGAGATGATTTAAAGGTAACATAAAAATAAGGAAATTTGTGTTTGGTCTAGTACCAACCAGGAAGCCAGTGTAGCGACCCCTTACAGCACCCATCAATGCACGTCAGACTTAAACACTTGCAAGATGCTTAGAGAAAACTTCTGAAGAACGCAAAGCTTCCTACAACCAGAGAGCCTCGCATGGGGCGCCACATCGCGTAACAGATGTAAGCGAGGAAAATAAGGTTGAAATGTTTTCTCCACTCGGCTACACTTCATTTGGCACTTGTTAAAATCAGTTTACACCATTTACTAGTTTGTTTTTTCACCCTTCTATAATCAGACTCAACAGCTGAAGCTGAGTTAGTATCACAATATCTATTACAGCATAAAGAGGAAACTTTATTTCCTTTTTAAAGTTTTATTACAAAAATAGCTGAAATATTAAAATTAATGACAATAAAACTTTGACAACACAGATTATAAAGGACAATAAATTAAAAAAAATAGTTTTAATAATAAGTAATAATAAACAATGTGATTGGTTGGATTGACTAGTTTGGGTGGGGTTTGAAGAAGCGGTTCAGTTGGATGAATGCCGGGCAGCTGGAGGGAAGTGTAACAGTTCAGATTACTAATTTTGAATCCATCCATTATCTATACCTGCTTATTTCTTCAGGGTCACGGGGGTCACTGGTGCCCATATCCAGCAGTCACAGTGCAAGGGGCAGGGTACACCCTGGACAGGTCTCCAGTCCATCACAGGGCCACACATAGAGACAAACGAGACAGACAACCATTCACTCTCTCACTCACACAATTTAGAGTTATCATATAACCTAACAGTCATGTTTTTGGAAGCCGGAGTACCCGGAAAGAACCCACACTAATTCTGATTATAAAATTAATTGTGATCATAACTCAAGACAGGAAGTTTAAAAATCATATTTACATGTTCACAATTAACTTCCTCCACAACTCTATCCAACCAATCACAGTTTACCTAAACCACGCCCACACCCATGAAACTCCCATTTAGTGACTGCAGAGACCCCCTTCAACAAAATTTAGATTCTTTTTTTGAAAAATAATCAACCAAACATAAATTTCCTTCTGTTTTGTGACCTGCCTCAGTGATTGATTTAAAAAAACTTTGTTGACAGAACCATCATTATAATTATTTACCTGTATTTAAGCAGGAGATGACAGATCTCTTTTGCCAGAGAGCCTGAAGGCAGCCTGATGTGCATATTTTTGTTCAAATCAAACATTTTCCTGACTCTTGTTGATTAATTTGAGCGGTAACGTGAGGAACGCCTCCTCTTCTTGGCTTTGTGCTGTTTGTGGAGCAGGAGTTTGATAAAAGCTTCTCTCGGTGTGGACGGCCCATTATCTGCCTGACGCAGGCAACGTGTTCTGGCCCTGTTTGTTTTTCCACTGCTGTGCCACCAGATGAAACCCTCAGCCAGTGTCAAATCAGGGCCTGCAGGCCCGCTGTAAATACACCTGATCCATGTTATAACTCCGCCCYCTTCTGCCTTACGATGTGCCCCAGACCCTTCATAGCTGGGTGAGCGAGGAGCTAGCTGGCAGGTCCAGCTCCGCGGCCCTCCTGTCCACCGAGGGCAACCAGGAGGAGAGGTGTAAGCAGGTAGAGCCCGCTCCGAGAGCCAATCACAACACAACAAGCACGCAATGCTCACCTGCCCAGTGCCTAATCCCCCACCGTCACTCAGCATCTGTTCTGCAGCTGTAATAACTCAAAAGAATCTGTTTAACCTGAGAGGTTCCATGTTAGCTTGTTGTTATGAATATCTTTAGTTTCACTGCTCGACACTGATGAATGCTGTTCATTTGACTGCCTGTTTTACTCACACTAACCAACAAACCTGCATGTTGTTCTGTTTTCTACCAAACAGAAGCTCAACTTCAGGTTTTCTGACAGGTTTTCATGATGAAAGCAGGATTTTTATCAAATGATTTTCACCTCTAAATTCAGCCTGAGAAGCAGCTCAGAGAAGAACGCTTCAACAGATATGAAACATTATTCAACAAATAAAACAGGAAGTAAATCAGGTTTTTTATTCTTTCGAGAATAAACAATCAGTTTTAGTTCTAACTAGGGCTGCAACTAATGATTAGTTTAATAATTGATTAATCTGTTGATTATTTTTTCGATTAATCGTCCAAATCCTTAAAACGCTTAATTACATAAATATGAGTAGATAGAAATTAATTTCATTCCTGTATAAAATAGGGATACAAGTTATCGATTAATGTATTAATCTGAAGATGATTTATCATATACACTGACTAACAATTAATTGATAAGCTGCCATTTTCTTAAAAATCTGAGTTTTCTCGAATCAAGAGGATCTTTTCATAACATGAAGGTTTTTTTTTTATAATTTCCTGAATTAAAAAACAGAAGCACATTTTGCCAGCTGTATTAAATACTGACTGAAAAAATATGTGTATTTCTCATACATGAAACTTAACAGAAATTTAATAGGTTGCTGAATGAGGAAAATAGATTAAAATAATATAATATGATTTTTAGCTGTATTATATTATTATTAGTATATATTATTAATTTATTATAATTCGAATTTATTTACATTTAGCATTTATGATTTTTCTCTAATTCTTTACTTTTTGCTTCCTTCTTGTTGGTTCTGTCTGACTGAAACGGTGTTCTATGACCCAGTGAGCGGTTCTTCCTAAACGTTATTCACGTCAGCCAGCATTGACAACGCTCTGCGGGTGACGTAAACGGCTCCGACATGGCGAGGGATGTATAAATCACGCAACACAACAAATCGATAATGAAATTCATTGCCAACACTTTTAATAATCGATTTTTATTGATTTTATCGATTCATTGTTGCAGCCCTAGTTGTAATTACAGAAAACTGTTAATTGAATTTATTAATTTATATTTTTCTTTTGTCCAACGTTTGTTTCTTTCTGCAGACTCCTTTAATCTGAACTCACCTGCATGTTGCAACAAAAACATCTCAAAGTTTTTGAAGCTCTTCTTCAGTTTCTGCTGAATTCATCCTTGATCTCTTTGATCTTTTTGTTTGTTCAGGAGAACCGGTGCCGTTAGCTGAGCGAATGGACCGCCGGTTCTCTGGTGTCAGGGTTCTGAGAGCTTTTGTTAGCAGGAATGTTTTATTTTGAAAAGCCAGCGAGAGGTTCCTCTGAACCCGGGCGACCTGACTGAGCGGTTCTGCTGCTGTGCCCGCAGGCAGCCCAGGTGGTTCTGATCGCCCTGTTTGAGCTGAACACGCCCGAGTTCACCATGCTGCTGGGAGCCCTCCCCAAGACCTTCCAGGACGGCGCCACCAAGCTGCTCCACAGCCACCTGAAGAACTCCAGCAACACCAGCAGCAACGTGGTGAGCCTGCAGCCCCGTCTCCGCCCAGCAGAACCACAGAACCCTCGGGTCGGACCGGTCCTAACGCAGATTCCTTCTGTTCCAGGGGTCTCCCAGCAACACCATCGGCCGGACGCCACCACGCCACGCCCCCAGCAGGACCAGCCCCCTCACCTCGCCCACGAACTGTTCCCATGGGGGGCTTTCACCCAGGTACGAAAACCAGAACCGGCTCTGATCCGACTGGATTAACCAGGAGGTTCTGATCTGAACTAACAACTAACCCGCTCCTCTCACAGCTTCCAGCAACATGATTTTAACATGAGTTTAACAACTCCATCAATAACTAGTCTGTTGGAACCATTTCAGGTCGGGTCCGCCAGGTTCTGAGAATATGTTCTGATGATGAGGAACACCAGGTGATGAAGAGTGTCAGGCGTTAGTTCTGTTTCATCCCTACTGACCGCCAGAGGCGGTGCTTCAAGCACTGAATGATCATTYTTGTGCAGGTCGAGAATTAATACCAACAAAGTCACCTGTGACCTGCTGGTGACCCACATGACTCTATAAAGTCACGGGATGCCCGGCGCTCAATCCCTTTCTTCTCACGTGCAGGTACTGAGTGCAGGTGGTTGTGCTAAGCTAAGCTTTTGCAATTACCAGTACTAATTTATTACTTGATGCCAGAAGCCTCGTGACCATTTGTTGTGTTTTTAAACGAGTTTTAAAAACAGAAAGGGTTGGCGCCTGCCTGACTTTCAGTGGCAGCTCGGTCTGTAATTTAGGAGCCAAACGCTCTGTTTCCACTGGATTTATAAAGTCTTTGGGATGATCTAAGAGCATGCAATGTCTGTCATATAAAGGTGAAGCAGTTCAGAAAGATAACAAGGGCTAAGACCATTAAGAGACTTAAAAACAAACAAAAGAACTTTGAAATGGATTTGAAACTGAACAGGAAGCCAAAGAAGGAGGGGCTTAATTTTCAACAGTCGTCTCAGCTGAAAAAAGGATGACTTAAMCACAGAGTTGACCTGCCAGTGAAGTTTCAGGCTAGGGTCCAATTTCATCCCAAAATTTGTGACTGTAGCTGTGTGGTGGCACGATCTACCAAGAATGCAGAAACACGTTGGAATAATACCAGAAAAGTCTGCGTGTATGATAATCAAATATGGTTTAATTATGAGCGACAAACAAACAGAACTGAATCAGGAAATTCTGCATGTTTGTGACTGAACTCGTCAGCAGACTACAGCCAGTAATATAACATCATGTTAACACCATGTGACAGTTTACAACCAATCACAGATTGCCAAATATACTGTCCAGCCAATGACTGGGCTCCCAGGTCAAAGAGTCTGTTATCAAACAAGAGAGTTCAGTCCGTTGCGGAGTCCTGAYGTCCGGAAACAAACAGACAACGAGAGCGAAATGAGCTATCAGAAAGATACGAGTGATGGACAGTGTCAAGGTGAAACAGATATAAATAATTAGTCCATGACAGCTGCGTTTCCATTACAAATGTGCGCAAAACTTTGTCGATATTCTGTTAATGTCGAAAAAACACAGTTTCGCAATTGCAGTGTTTCCATTAAATAAGAAATGCTATTAAAGTCACGCGTGAATACGTTTGTTCTCACAGTAAGTCATAACAAACATGGCGGCAATGAATGTAAACGAATGCATATTGCTACCACGACACTAGCGCTCATCAGAGGAGACGGCGGCATCTTATCGAGGCTTTCAAGCGACAAGCCCCTTATGCTTGGGAGCGGCTACGTATGCTGTGTTTTTGGGAAATTGTAGTCGGTGAGTTTACTACTTTCTTTTACAACTTTGGTGACTTTACTACTACTTCTACTTCCTGTTGTCTTCTTCTTCGTTGTCTTTTTCACCAGTAGAAACAGCTGGTTGTTGATCACGTGACTCCCGTGATGCGAAGAAAGTGTTTCCATTACAGTTTTGCGAAAAACACCAATTTCGATACGGTCAAAAAAACACCTCATCCTAGCGCAAAAACATTTTGTCGAAAAACGTAAGTTTTTCCGAAATTGACGTTTTTCCATTTAGCAAATTTTTTTTCGAAATTCTAATTTGCGCATTTTCATGGTCAATAGAAACGCAGCTAATGAGTTTTCCAGAGAGAAATAATCAAAGGTGGGGTACTGCCACCAGACTTAAAAATCATAAACTCAGACTTTTTGTCATTAAAATGTAGGAAATTCAGATGTCATCAAGACAGTTCAGGAGAGACTGAGTAGAGTATAATGTTTCAGTGGGAAGTAGACTCAACAGTCGTCTGTGTATAAATGAACCTAAACACCATGTTTTCTTAAAACAAAACCCTGTGGCAGGAGATAAAATAAAAATAGGAGAGGACTGAGAATAGAGCCCTGGGGTACCCCCAGGGAAGGTTGGCAGAAGCAGAGGTAAAATCGTCTATCATCACACTGAAACTCAGAAAGATAGGACCTAAACCATCAAAGAGCCCACCCACCTCCAATCTGAAGATGGGAATGTCAAAACTTGAAATATTTTTGGTTCAAATGTAAAGTTGGTCCCCTCCATGTGTTTAAGACYAACTTACATTTGTCTTGATGTCCCTGTGAGGACTGTGTAGTCCCTGTGAGGACTGTGAGGACGGTGTAGTCCCTGTGAGGACGGTGTAGTCCCTGTGAGGACGGTGTAGTCCCTGTGAGGACGGTGTAGTCCCTGTGAGGATAATGTAGTCCCTGTGAGGATAATGTAGTCCCTGTGAGGACGCTGTAGTCCCTGTGAGGATAATGTAGTCCCTGTGAGGATAATGTAGTCCCTGTGAGGATAATGTAGTCCCTGTGAGGATAATGTAGTCCCTGTGAGGACGGTGTAGTCCCTGTGAGGACGGTGTAGTCCCTGTGAGGATAATGTAGTCCCTGTGAGGATAATGTAGTCCCTGTGAGGACGGTGTAGTCCCTGTGAGGACGGTGTAGTCCCTGTGAGGATAATGTAGTCCCTGTGAGGATAATGTAGTCCCTGTGAGGACGCTGTAGTCCCTGTGAGGATAATGTAGTCCCTGTGGGGACGGTGTAGTCCCTGTGGGGACGGTGTAGTCCCTGTGGGGACGGTGTAGTCCCTGTGGGGACGGT